AAGGAATGATTTTAAATCATGCAATCGCTTCGTCCATTTTGCCGAAGTGGATGAGGGAGAGCACTCGCTATCGTGCGCATCGATTGTGCCATCTGCGTGGCTGAAGTGATTGGCTTTATTGAGTGTGAAAGACTGCCATCGGGGAGAGGCGATGCCATGGTGAATGCGTGCTCTATTATCTTGAATGATACACTCTATTATATGAATGGAATAAGTGACCAACTGAAGATAATAACACCAAAAGGTATAGTGTGTGGTACTGGTATAACCAGTAAGGTACCCATATTGAATATGAAAATGTACCGATGTCGGGAAACGGACGGGCACAGCACCGGTACAGTAGTTCTGTCCATGAAACGCATCCTCCGCTCTACTATTAAAATACCGTACAGTAAACAAGAATGGGAAATAAGGAACATACGATAGATATACGGCTATGGTTAGCCGCCTTGGCCTTAGCCTTTTATCTTGGTCGAATGATGGATCATCACAAGCACAACAATGACGGCTCCTCATTGACATCATCACCACCACCACCACCAATCACCGCAGCAACCATGAGAACAACAACAACAATCAATGTAGCAGAACCATCTAGTCAACACTTTTCATTGGATTTCAAGGGTGCCAGCACCGAGTTTCTACAATCCAAAGATGAGTTGATCCAAGCCATTTCCAATGCTTCCAAGTTACTAAACAATATGGAAGTCAAGAGCGTCAGATGTCAGGATTTGTTGATGCCTTCTAGTAATACCGTCATTACGTGTCTAGCCGTGTTGGACCAAGGTCAAATATCGATTCAAGCATGGCCCCAACAAAATGTTCTCTCGGTGGATGTCATTCAATATGGTTCCGCATCCATTCTTCCGGCAGTGTCCATGCTCCAAGCTGTTTTTGGTGTGAATACTACTGACAAGAATGATGATGCTGTCTCTTTTTGGTCCTTGGATTATCGGGGCCAAGATTCCCTGGACAATCGCCATGTGGAATCCTATTGGGAAGTGACCAATACCATGATTTCCAAAGTCAAGGACGTGGTATTAC